AAAAAAATGCGGATAACACCCAGTCTTTTTTTGGGAAGCCCCCAAAATTTCCGGGAAAAAAAGGAGGGCGTTTTGGGCCACCCGGAAAGGGGGGGGGGCCCCCCCCAACTTCCGGGGGGGGGGCTACTTACCCCTTTTACTTCCCCCCCCCCCCCCCCCCCGCGCCCGCCCCCGCCCGCCGCTTTTTGCCGGGTGTTTGTCCTTCTCACGACTTGTAACGATCGCCTTCTCACGATGGGCTGCTTCTCCAGCCGCGTCGAGGCCCCGACCGAGGAGCGGCTCAGCGCCCCCGCCGTCGAACGTGACGCCCCGACGCCCGCCGACACCGCCGCGCCGACGCAGCCGGCCGCCGCTTTCCCCTCCGCCCCCGATCTCGGCGTGGACGAGGAGATGCTGGCAAAGTGGCGCAAGCACGGCGGCGGCGACCTGGAGCCGGTCCTCGCGAGCGGCGCCGTCGCCCTCCTCGACGCGCAGTGGATCATCAGCCACGCCGAGGCGGGCGGCGTCATCACCCACCGCCAGGCGCTGCCCGAAGAGGCCTTCCTCTCCCTCGCCGACCTCGTCGCGGCAACCAATTTAGATTTCTTCCTTCCCGTCGCCGCGCTCTCCTACCCGTGGCTGACCAAGGACCACCCCGACCCGCGTGGAGCCAATCTCTCCCGCGTCGCAAGGGCGCTCAAGGCCCTGCTCACCGACCCCGAATGGACCGGCATCACGCGGCTCGGCGTCTTTTGGGACTTCGGCTCGCTGCACCAGCACCCCGACCCCGCCAACGGCGTCATGCGCACCGAGGAGCAGAACACGCTCTTCAAGCAGGGGCTGGGCTGCCTCGGCACGCTCTACTCCCATCCATACACGACCGTGCTGCGGCTGACCTCCTTCCCGGACGGCCACAAGGCGGAGGACCAGGCCGAGGGCACCAACGTGGCCAAGTACTTTGACCGCGGCTGGTGCGCCACAGAGAGCTGCTGGGCGAGCCTGACTAAGGCCGGCTTCCTCTCGCTCGACCTCGGCTTGATGCGCGGCGGCAAGGAGTACGACTACTGGAGCCTCCGAGAGGACTGCACCAAGGACGGCGGCCGGCGCCCTCCGCTGCTGCCGTCTGCGTTCGCGGCGGAGCTGGAGAAGAAGAGCTTCACCAACGGCAAGGACGACAAGCCGCTCGTGAAGCGGCTGTACGAGGCCGCCCTCGAGGAGCAGTTTGGCAAGGCGACCGAGCTGGTCTACTACGACCTCGGCTGGGGCGACGCGGAGGCGGCGCAGCTGGCGGAGGTCCTCGCGAGCGGGGCAGTGCCGCGGCTCGAGACGCTCTGGCTCAGCGACAACAAGATTGGTGACGAGGGCTGCAAGGCACTGGCTGCCGCCCTTGGCAAGGAGGGGGCAGCGCCGCGGTTCAAGAAGCTCCAGCTCAACGGCAACGAGAGTGGCGACGAGGGCTGCAAGGCGCTGGCCGCCGCCCTCGGCAAGGAGGCGGCAGCGCCGCGGCTCGAGACGCTCGTTCTCTGTGAAAACAAGATTGGCGACGAGGGCTGCAAGGCGCTGGCCGCCGCCCTCGGCAAGGAGGGTGCAGCGCCGCGGCTCGAGAGGCTCGATCTCGACAAGAACAAGATTGGCGACGAGGGCTGCAAGGCGCTGGCCGCCGCACTCAAGGAGGGAGCAGCGCCGCGGCTCGAGGAGCTCTGTCTCAGCGTCAACCAGATTGGTGACGAGGGCTGCAAGGCGCTGGCCGCCGCCCTCAAGGAGGGGGCAGCGCCGCGGCTCAAGGAGCTCTCTCTCGATGACAACAAGATTGGCGACGAGGGCTGCAAGGTGCTGGCCGCCGCCTTCAAGGCGCTGGCCACCGCCCTCAACGAGGGGGCCGCCCCGAGCTTGAAGGCGCGAGACACCCCCTCGCCACTCGCCCCTCCCCCACCCAATGCTCATCGCACCTCCCCTCGCGTGCAGACGCTCTGGGTGGACAACAAGGAGCAGCCTGAGCTGGTGGCCGTGTGCGAGGAGCGCGGCATCAAGCTGTGCTGAGCCTCTCCAGCCGCGAGCGGCAACCAAGACCCTCGACGGGGCCCGCGGCAGAGTCCAGAGAGAGCTGCGGCCAGCGCGCAGCGGTCTCTATGGGCGCGCGCGCCGCATGCACATGCACATATACCGCTGCGAGGTATTCGTCTCTGTTACTGAAAGTTACTCTCTCGTGAGAGACGAGCAGAGAGGAGATTGAGGAGTGCGTATTAGAGAGATACACAAACAACACCAGAGTGCAGTGTGGCCACCTTTTTTTATCTGTGGGCTAACCCGTGACGAAAAACGGACGCACACCAAGCGCTAAGCGTGAGGACGCGATTTCGAATTCGGAGGTGGCATCTGAGCAAAATTGGGCCCGCCAGGTGTGAAAAAAATTATAAGGGTCATAGTCGCCGATTCGATCCGGAAGCCACTCGACCATCGAGAGGCCGTCGGCCGAAGTCGGCAAACGTAGATCAAATGGTTAGAGATAGCGTCCACTCAGAGACCGATACCCGTAACACATTACCGAGGGAATTAGACACCACAGATACGCACAACCGACGCCCGAAGTGCCAAAGAAGGACGTCATTAGTACGAAACCTCAGAAAAAGGCCATGGGCGTCGAGAGAACATTCCCTCGAGAGGACAAAAAGAAAGACTAACCCGAACCTCCTTCCCTGGTTCCCCCCGCCAAATGTCGCCGTTCTCGGGGCATGCTATCCTGTGTAAGCAGGGCAGGTGGGGGAGGGGGGCACTCCCCCTCGTCTGATACTGGGGTGTGACTGTCTCTAGCGTCGGAGGCAAGGCAAAAGATAAGAATATTCATTTTTTTTTCTTATCTGTGAGCTGTCGAGCCTGGTTTGCCGATTTTGATTTGATTCTTTGAGGAAGAAAATACCTCGTGCTCGCATACAAAAGCGCCGCCACGTGCGTAAAACGAACAACCTGACTTTACCGTGAGACCAGGGGCGGCGACAGTGCATCTTCCGACCCACAATACCAGTGCAGTGTACGTAATCCTGTACGCGCCGGGGCCGCGTGTGTCCACACACAACGCGACGGCCCGAGGAGAAGAAAAGCCATCACCAGTCGACAACCGACGGCTGCGCGG